AAAACCAATAAATTAAAAGATCAAAGTTTATAGCACAATTTTCGGAAGTAGTTCCGGGAACAAAAGGACCGCTTGAATATACTTCAATCATTTGCATTTAGCTTAACTATAACTGTTCTGCTTCAGCACATTACAAACAGGAAAATATCTTGACTTACTTTCAACTCGTCTTCCATTGACATCCCACTGTCAATACTAGTCCGAGCTAATTTGTCGTTTATCTCTCCCACCCATAATTTCTTGGTCCATTAGACGTATTATGAATCCGTGATACCCCTTTGGTTTCTGATCTTTACATTTCACGAACTCCTTACAACCACATTTTTCTTCGAGCTGTAAAACCGGGTCGCTGGATTCTTCGAACTCTAGTTTATCTTCATCTGATTACAAAGTATAATCTTGAATGAAAGGTAATATTATGAATTATTATTTTGTCTACCTGAGCTTCGTTAAGAGGAAACATGTCTTTGGGTAGCAGCAATACTAGCGGGATAAATGGAAACCAGTACTTCCGGTTTGACCGAGTCACTTGTAGAACCTGAGAAGCCGTCTTTGCCGATGCGAAATGGGGGACTTCATCAGCGAAAGCCTGTTTGCTGCACGGCGACAACGCTGGTGATGGACATCGCGTCTGCAATCTGGACGAGCTAGAGGGCGCTATTGGTGATGGAGGAAAAAAGAGAAGAGCCTTGTGCCAATTGCGTATGCAGCGCAGATTACTGGTTACGTCAAGGAGACTGGCCATCTCGCGGAACAATCGGTGCTCCCGGCGGGGAAGTCGAGCCCAAGTTGCCTTTTGGCGAGACACAGGACCTAAATAAAGTCAGCAAAATTCGGTAATTAATGTAAGTGTAATATACTAGAGGGCTCCTGACAGAATTCATTTGCCTTGGTCACTCTGACGCTACGACAAAATTTCAAAAAACGACGATAAACCATGCAAATGCAACGAAAGGAGACTGTGACTGAAATAGGGGTCTTACCATCTTCACTTTCATGCCTTCAATTAATTTCCTTTTGTTTATCACTTAGTATAAATTTCTAATACATTTGTGCTACTATTAAGTCCTACATACTATATATTAATAAAATGAATAAAGATCATTAAATTTGTATTTGCTTTATCTGTAGTATTTGC